GAGACTATGATTCAAAAACTTTTCTCGGAAGCGACCGGCCGCTGCTCCACGATAGGCGGCGAGGAGATACCGGACGATCGGCGCGGCACTACGCAATTACCGTTGCCGAGTCTCTTCGAAAATTATTCCTCGTATTGCGATTTTCTCGATATTTTAACCGTAATTTGGACTTTTTTTTGCATTTTTCTTCAAAAATCATCTGGAAATTGTCCTAAACTAAACTTTTTGTTTATCCAAAAAAATCTCGAAAGGAAAAAACCTCCACATGTGGTAGAAATTTTACTAAACTGGCAATATTGTACATTATTGCGTAATTGTCAGCCTTAGAGACGAGTCTGAATATTTTTGAAAAATATTGCATAAGAAAGTGTTCGAAGATGTTGGGTGCGTTCCGTTTTGTGCTTGCAAGCATCATTTGTCCTTGTTATTATATTTGATAAACAATGGACCGGTTGTTCCGCGCCTTTCGGTTTTACCGAAATTTTACGCGTTAAGTAAGTGACAATCTGCGCATGCGATTGAATTATTTTGCTACTTACGCGTAAAATGTACCGAAAGGTGGAACAATCGGTCCAATAAGGATAAACTGATGCGTGAAATTGAAGCACTCAATGGCTACGTTTACACCGTGCGTTTAGGCCGCGACCTATACGATAGATGTCCTTGTTTATCCTGTAAGTTAAACAAAGACATCTATCGTATAGGTCGCGGACTAAGAGCAAGACCAATCATATAAAAGAATTATAACAAATACAACAGTTGCAAAGCTGCTTTTTCTGCTGAATGCAGCTATTGCAGGTTCTTAAGCGTCGTTTGCGTACATCGGATCGCGGCTGTGAATCCATTACATCCTTGTCGTTAGCCAATATTAAACAAGGCTGCAATGATTTACTGTGTTCATACTACGTCGCATCTGCGTCTCTTGCTGGAAAACGTAGAGTCTGGCTACGAACGATTTTGTCAAAATCCTGTGATTGATTGAATCGCCATTTATTTGGCGCTCTGGGACAAAGTCCCTTCAAGCGCTAGTCAAATGTATTGTTTATATAAAATAATACTTTAAGAACTAAAAAACTATAACCATAAAATGTATGTTGTTTAAAATAACAAGATTAAGAAGAAAAAGAAATATAGTGAGAGAAATATATACTGTCACCCTGTGTATATATATATTCAAATTTATACTACTTCACCGTGTAATCTCAATTAAGATTATAGAATGACACAATAATAGAGTGAGATTATGCATATCTTTTTCAAAACTGGCTCAATTTTCACTTTCAGAGTGAGATACCACTCCAAAGAATTTAGAGAATAAGAAACTACGAATGTACGTAAAGCGGTCTGCAATGAGATTTTAAAGCTTAAGTCTTAAACCGTAAGAAATTGACCAATCATAGCCGACCATTCTCCTCACATTCAACTGTAATTGGGCAATTTCTTATGGCTTAAGACTCAAAGCTTAACCCCGGATCTACAATAGGTGTCTTAAGCTTTAAGTCGTGAGAAATTGACTAATTACAGTCGAATTCGAGGAGAATAATCGACTATGATTCGCCCATTTCTTATGGTTTAAGGCTTAGAACTCTATTGTAGATCCGGAGTAATAGGCTTCCTACAATAAGCTATAACCTTAGCTTTAACTCTTAAGGTGCAGCCACAATAGAAGGAATAAGAAAATAGGAATAAGGCCCTGCGCACAATGGAGGAAATATTAGGAAGAGGAATAGATATTAAGATTTCAACCTATCAGAAACCGTGTATTCCGGTGTAACTGGTATCTGATAGGTTAAAATCTTAATATCTATTCCTGTTCCTAATATTTCCTCTATTGTGCGCAGGACCTAAGGAATAAAAATTTCAACCTATCAGAAACCGTGTATTCCGGTGTAGCCGATATTCGATAGGTTGAAATCTTTATTCCTTATTCCTTCTATTGTGGCTGGACCTTTAAGCCATAAGAAATTGACCAATCATGAACGATTATTCTTCTCACATTCGACTGTGATTGGCCAATTTCTTACAGTTCAAGCCTTAAAGTTTAGGTTATGGTGGAAAGCCTAAGTTTTATTCCTTAAAATCTTATTGTAGACACCGAGAGTACTTTAAATCCCTCACTGGGTCTAAATGTATAAATGAATCATATTAAAGAATCTTACTTTTTCTGCTGGGGGTCGGTCGTGTAACTTTTTCTCAGATCAGAGCGAAAACATGAAAATGAAAATTTTTGTGTGTGTATGTACAGCCGGTCACAGAAAAGTTGCAACACTTTTTTTTAAGGGTTTCGGAACGTAGCTTTCTCACCGAACGATTGGTTCTTATGGATCTAACCATTTACGTTCAACCGTTCTACAAGTAAGACTGAGTTCCAAAGTCCATAGGAAAAAAATGTTGCAACCTTTCTGTGGCCAATTGTACATACATAAAAATTTTCATTTTTTACGTTTCCGCGTTAATGGAAAAGTTACACGATTGATCTCCCGAACGCAGCTCATTTCATTCTTGTTTACTAAATATCAAATAAAATAAACAATGCCAACAAGTGTTGCGCGGTCCGCATCAACGGTGTCCTTTACCGGAAAATGTCCTCTGTTACGTGAGTTTTTCCGTCGTTCAGTTCGACATCGTCATCGTCTTTCGTCGCCGGGATCCAATCGAAGGGGTCGCTTCGGTGTGAGAGACATTTGGCGCGTTTCACGATACGACGCCATAATTCGCGCGATCGACTGCCGCCTCCCTCGATCATTTACAGTCGCGTTTCAAGCTCCGTCGCTCCGTGACGTGTTTCTCCGAATTGTTGCTCCGCGTCTCGCTCCTTCTCGGACGGAGCGCACGTCACGTCGGTGCATTGTGTGCGATAGTACGAAGATCGGATTTATCGCGCGGGTACGCGGCGATGACGGCGGCAGAGCGGCGATAGCGTGCGCGCCACGCCGGAGAGCGAGAGCTCGATAGAGCGCGCCCGTCGGCGCGACGGAGTACGAGGGTGTGGGAGAGGGAGAGAGAGAGAGAGAGAGAGAGAGATGGTGAGAGGGCGAGAGTGGATCCGCGCGGTTCTCCCGCGACGAGACACGGGAAGAAGCAGGACGGAAACGCGAAGATTTCAACATTTCCGTGTGACGAGAGACGGAAGGATTGTTTAACGAGGCGATATCAAAAGTGATCGAATCCACGTCGGGACCACGTCTGGGTATCCGTGACGTAGAATTTAAATTTGGTATCGGTGCGGTAAGGTGTATGCGGTGCGGCGTGGCGCGATACGATACAGTACAGTACGGTGCGGTGCGGCGCACGGATGGGATCCACGGACCAGCACAGACGGACGAAGGGACGAACGAACGAAGCGCGCGGTCGTACCGTCGTAGCGGCGAACCGGTGCGGCGCACGCACACACGGAGACACACGCGAAACACGGCGAAACACGGCGAAACACGCCGAAACGAGAGGATCGCGCGGAAACGTCCGCGGCGCGCGTAGATCGTCGGTGATCGCGTGTCGCGCGAGCGCGCGCGCCCGTTTCCAAAAGTATAACTCTGCGTTTCGTTTTTCCGAAGGTACCGGGACCTCCTGGTGAACATTATTAACCCTGGCAGCGATTACTGTAACCAACGTGGTCTCGTCGTCATCCTCGGCAACGAGAGGCAGGATTGTTCAGGAGCGGTTAGCGGCGACCGGCCGAATTGCCAAGGAGAGACGAAGAGGAAGAGGAGATAAAGTAGTGAGTCGCAGAGTCGCGCCCCGTATATCGATACGAATGACGAAGATGCAGCAACACCCGGTGCAGGCGGCGCAGCGGATCACGCACGAGGACCACATACTGGAGGCGATCGATCAACTCCGTCGACGTAAAGCGCGTCCCGATGCCGATCGCATTTGCAACTATCTGCTCCGGAATTACGCGGTGGACGCGCGCGACACGATCGCCGATCTTCACCGGCTGATCGAGGTCGAGAAGGTGATCCAGGTCGACTACAAGGGTAACACCAGTTACCGTAACGCAAAGAAGTGGACGCGATTGCAGCTCTTTAAGAATCGACCGGAAGGTTTTCTCAAGGAGAAACTCAACTCGGGCATGGTGTCAAGTGCGGTCGCCGAGCTCGTGGTCGAGGAGCCCGATTACCTTGACCAGGGCGTCCCCGCCGGTCGTCTCATCGAGCAGCTTCTCGACGGTGTCTCGAGCCCGACGTCGCGTCGCGTGGTCGAGGAGTTTCTCGGTCGGGAGGTCGCGTGCGGCAATCTCGCGCGCCTGTCCAACGGCAATTACTCGCTGGTGGCGACGTCCGACATGACGACGGACGCGACACCGTCGCGACGCGGCGGCGACTCGCAGCCGTCCTCCTCCGCGGCGGTCGCCTGCGCCCTGGAGAACGGCAACGCGACGCAGCGGCGTGTCGGTAAGGAGGCTGCTACCAACGGCACCCTCACCAATGGCACCAACGGTATAACGACCAAGGCGACCAAGACAGCGGCGGCAGCGGCAGCGGCGACTGCGGCTGAGCTCTACGAGTTCAACGAGACGGATAACCTTACCGACACTACGTCCAACACATCGCGATCGTCCTCGCGACAGACCAACGATAGTCCGAAACTGGATCGGCAACTGCAGCAGCAGAATTCCATCAAGAGGAAGGAATGCTACGAGGTCAACGACAAGAAAAACGTCGAACGCGGCGGTATCGCGTCCGTCGAGGTGGCATGCAACGGCGCCGTCGTCGACGGTGATAAACGAGAACGCAATTCTCTGGTGATAGCTACGCCAACGTCAACGATTAGCAATAACGTCAAGGACGAACCAAAGAGCAACGATGTCCAGAAGATTACGTCTAACCTTAAAAGGTCCGCCAAAGCCGAGCGCAAGCAACGTCTGTTTGCCAGAACGGACGACCGTATGGACATCGAGATTAAGTTCGAAGACTACCAACAGACCAAGGACGAGCGAGAGAAACGCGAGGAAACCGGTCGACGATCCAGTGAAGATCGTGAGGATGAGGACGCCGGCAGGAGCTCGTCGACAAACACATCCCCGACTCCGTCCAACGTAAATACTGCCGGATTCCGCAGCGCCAGGAGAAAGGTAGCGTAGACGTTCTATTAACTGTAGTGTTTGTGACATATTATAAATATTTTTTTGAAAGACGTCTTGATGCAAGGTATAGTTCTACTTTAATACATATTTTTATATAAAGTAAAATACAATATTGTCTTGTAAAGTACTCGCTTCTGGATGATTTCAGATAGATACATTTGTTTGTATATTTTGTTTGTGTATTAACGAGAAGAATTGATTTATATAAGAGGATATTTGAAGATTAAAGGTACCATTTTTAAGACAATGAAAAATAAATCATTGTTAATGTAGTTGAAAGTAAATTTTTTTTCTTTGGCCCATCATTCAGGTGAAAATTGATATATCGATTCATGTGGTTGTTTTTATATTTTAGAGAGCTAGAAAAGTGTTTGATCCTTCGGATAATAATTTGGTGAAGCGCAAACGAGGTAGACCAGGTCATAAAAATTCGTTGGTGCAAGAACAAGATTCTGCTAAGGTAACTGTCAAGGATGGACCGTTTAGGCAATGCAGTCTCTGTGCCAAAGAGAAACAAGAAGCTCTCGTAGCCTGCAGGGATTGCACAGTGCGAGGTAATTTTTGAATATAATTGAAGTTAATATCGATTAATTTTTCTTAAACTTTTTATCGACATTTATGTGTATTACGTATTACATATACTTGCAGCACATCCGAGTTGCATTTATAGTCCAGAGGAAATGCTACAAAAAGCCAACAGCAATTGGCAATGCGAGCGCTGTAAAACCTGCACAGTATGTTGCGAGACTTCTGACGCTGTAAGTTTATTACATTCCATTTTATTTATAACGTTCATGGTTTTTTATTTTTATTCCAATAATTGTTTTGTTTTATTTAGGGTCCGTTAGCGACTTGTTACAGCTGCGATGACGCCTATCATTATTTTTGTCATCCGTCCCGCGTTACAATAAAATCGAACACTAAATGGTATTGCAATGAGTGCATGCAAAAACAGCAGAGCAAGATGAATGACAGTCAAAACACTCATTCGGTTAATGGAACAAGCAGACCGGACAGCCCATCAAGCACAACTATCTTACCGCCAGTTTTAAGTCCGCAAGTTTCTCCCATGAGGGGTTCTTCCGAAAATATTCCTGACGCTAGAAATTGGACTTCCGAACAAGTATATCAATACTTTGCTAGGTTATTTCCCAAGGACGCTGAAGTCTTCCGGCAGCAGGTAAGAGTTTAATTAATTTATTAGATAGACAAAGTATTCTTTGCGTAATTGTTCCGATATACCATGTTTGTTCCGCATTTACATTCCAGGAAATAGACGGCCACGCGCTTCTAATGATGAGTCGAAAGGACGTTGTGTGCGGACTCAATTTGCTATTAGGTCCTGCTTTGAAAATATACCGACATGTTTTGAAGCTTCAGTTTCGTAGGGATGATCCTGAATTGTATTGGCAATAATACTTACGAATTTTACTTGAAATTAATCTCTATTATATCGCGTACGTATTTTAATTTATACGATTTAATTTATACTTCATAAATTAAATCTTTTAGATTACGATTGTACACAATTCTAATTTTTAGGCGATTTCCACGTTGTATATATGATGTATATCGCTAAGACTTTATGAATAATAAGACTATCTTAAAGATATGTGCTCCTTAATAACAATAATATTCGAAGTGGACTTTGTTTACTGTTAAATCCCTCCTTGGGGTTAGATCAGGACATTGTCTGAAAAAGTGTGGAAACGCTCTCAAACTCTATTAGCAATAATATAGATCTTGCATATATTCAATCTTAGCAATATTATACATGATTTTTCTATAAATTACGAATCTAATTCGGTTTTAAGGCACTTTCCGTATTGTACAGACATACATGAGACATATTGCTAAGGTCTCCCGCAAATAATTTATCGCAAGCCAAACCGATATCGATCTGTAAATGTATGTGCACTTTGCGATTATATGCACTTAATGTACATTCCGCCTTTTTCATGTGCGGTATTTTGTAAAAAGGAGCAGATATTTTCTATTTACAAACTGTTAATTGTTAACGTTAAATTTAAACTTATATCATGAACTCTACACACAGTTTGTTCTAACAAAATAAACAGTTGGGCATGTTAAACGGAAAAGAGAATCATCGACTGATTGTGCGCGATTTTGCGTCACGTAAACTTATATTTTATTTTCACAAGTTTTACATACATAAATAATACATTTATTTGTAGAATGTAATTGTATAAGGTACTGCTAGTTAAAGAACACAATACTTGGTTTTACATGTACTTTTCTATTATGCAATAAATATTTTGATATTTGTACGTACATTGTAATAACATCCTCCAGAGATTAATTGCAAGACTTTCGAGATATGCATAGACATGCAGGAACATTCTAGTTACTTTCAATAAGTTACATTAAAGAGAATACGCCAAATCTTTCTTTACACTGTTAAAAAAAAAGAAATTTTCTTCCGTTACATGTAATGGAAGCAAATTTCAAGCTGATAAATCTTCATTGACAACATTAAAAATATTTAATGTTGTCAATGAAAATGAAGTTATAAGTAACTTAAATTTAACATTTACTTATATTAAATTTCATGTAAATCTATATAAAATTTAATAAAAAATGTACTAAACTTAATAAAATTTTATGAAAAGTACACTAAATTTCATATACACAAATATATATTTTCAGTTGCAAATAAATTTAATTTAGTGCCATAAAATTGAATTTAATTTGTGTAACTTAAAATTTGTATAACATTAAATTTCATGACATTTTTAACAGTGTATATCTCGGTATATCGGTAACAATGAGATTTTAATTTAAGGAGTATAAGTCTTATAAGTAGGAACTTGTACATTTATACATATACATATATTCCTAACTACATATAAATTTCGTTTAGTTTGATATTTTCAAGACTGCATCGCTAAACTCAATTGCTACATAAAGAGAATTTCAATATATTTTTACATAAAACACGTGTTGATGTTCTATTAAACGAAAAGATAAAACCTTAGTTATATTGTTATCCACGTGTGAGAGTAAAGTGCAATTTCTTGCTTTACAAGAATAAATATGAGTTACGATGGAAGGCTTTTAATAAATATAACAAGTGACACATAAGTGTAACGCGAATCAATATCGTAACTTTACTATCTTGTATGTCTCTTTGAATAAGGAATAATAAGAATTTTTTTATCACATATCGCGAGAAATTAAAATTGAGATTGAGTGTTATATATACATATATATATGTTATTTAAATATATACACGTTACAACTAAATTCTAATTAATATGTACACAGAGATGATTTATAAAAATCCTGAAAATATCTTTTCGGGATACGCATAAAATATTCGTATATGTATATGTATATAATGATATACTTGTATATATTGTAAAGTTAATCGAATTCTCGTATATTTTATTTAAAATTTCGGCCGCAGTGATGCTACGTAATGAGTGTGTCAAGCGTCAAAATGTACCATGTCGAACAAACTGCAAATTAATGCGATTCTAATCTAACAAGAGCGCACAATTGACAAAAATTTCCGCATGGAGAAATTTCAGTTCTTTTCTCTTTTCTTTTTATAGAGAAAGAAACGTGACATAAATCTTTGTATAATATAAAATATTCATATATACAATATATAATACAATATTCTTTTATACATATATTTAAATATAATATTGCACAAACCCTTCTCCGTAATTTTATATATTGTACTATTTATCGACTTTCAGTGATGGCTTTCCACGAAACAATAAGAGCGATCAAATCAAATGACCTACTTTGATTAACCTATATTGTCATTAGTTTTACGTCTATTTTTTCTACAAATTTGAACTTGTTCGTTGTATGTTAATTTATATCGATTTAAATATAAAAAGTTTTCGAAAAATTCGATATTTTATAAAATACAATTGATTTAGAAATTATATATTGCCGATTGAGCTTGTTTTTGCTTCGTTACTATTTCATGATTATTACTTCATACTAGATTTTATTAAACGTCCTAAATATGCATGTCGAAATATCACCAATTCTTTAATAAAAAAAAAGGAATAATTTAATTTTTTGTAGCACTTACTGTAAATGCAATCTAAATTTTTAAAGCGCAATTATAAAGCGCGAAAATAAAGAGGTGTTTACAGTAAACAACATTTGTATCATTACACTATTACATTATGCTAAGGCTTTTAAAACGTGATACATCTCGCATCAAGTCGAAATGTGATTTAAATGGAACGACTGGATAATTCATCATGACGTTTAGGTGGAGATATTTTGTACATCACTACTTCATTTGGCATGAATAATATAATATCCTTCGAAAAGTTGATATTTTTACAAAACTTATATTTATATGACCTCTGTACTTTCTTTATATAATATAACGATATTGCACATAACGATATAGCGACGAAAGGACCAGCTGAAGCAGCTATAATGTACTTGCGACACAGATACCCAATGTGAGAGAGGATATTCTTCGCCTGTTGAAACGTTTCAGATTTAGATGTAGATGCCGGTTGTTTACTTTCTCCAGAACAATCAGAGGCTTGAGTGTAATCCACGGTCTACGATTTTATCAGCGTATTTCACACTTCTATCAAATGTATTGTACATTCCCAGTAAACACCAACTCTCTCTTTCTAACAATAACATACAATATCAATGTTATAATTTACTTAACAATGTAACTGGTACGTACAACATGTGTTATTCATTTATATTGTTGAGTAAAAAATTGTAATATTGATATAATATTACTGTTAGTGTTTTACCAAGTTGTCGTTCACTGGCACTAGTATTAATCGTAGAAAATGTTACCCTGGCGTCCATTGGTATGGTTTTAACATGGGTCTGTGGCAATTTGAAGCCATCAGCATCCCACCATTTAGGAAGTAATTCCTTGCGTAATCCAGGATCAGTTAATATATCATTCTCCGGTATGTCAGGCGGCGTGGGTAAAATATCTATATTTTTTTCCATGCATGTGGCGATAGTAAACAGAGGTAACAGATCTGAAACTCGTTGCTTGGCCATGAAATTACAGCCAATATTGCAGATACAGCGATCATTCGGATTTATGTAAGCCTCGGAACACGCTGTCACAAATGACACAAAAGCAATTTTACATATTAAGTAGAAGACGTAAAATTACATGCTTCAATTACAAACTCAACAAAAAATAATACGGAAGCGACTTTATAGAAAGAAAGAATATGAATTCTTCTGAATATATATAAATGTAATAAAACTGTGTTTTACTGTTAACAAATATCTTTGAAAATTGCAAAACCAAATCCTTTGATACTCTTAAAAAATAAAACACAGTTATAGATGCGACGTACAAGCCTCGCAGGCGTTCCTAGTGCCATTTAAACGATCTTCCTCCCATTTGTAACGCGAGTCGATTAGATTGAAAAATCTGCAGCCTCGTTGACAGCAGGATTTTATGTAGCTGCTCTAAAACGAAATGATTGTACAAATATACGATATAAAATAAACAAATATACACATAAAATTCAGCATTACACACAGTTAACACATACATTTGGAAAACCAGTAAGTGTGTTCTCGCACAGATTGCAAGGATCCTTAAGATTTAATATATCAGGAGACACTAAGGCAGTGACTCGGTTAACTACGTCTCCGAGGATCAGTTCTGTGACGAGCAGCACCAGCGACGCAAAGATTTCCATGTTCCCTATCATCTTTAGAGATGCTTCGAGTTTCTTTTTCCTGACTTCTCCTTTCTATCTCTTTCTCAAGAACGTAAATGTTTTGGTTCGTGGAATTGGTGAAATTCTGCACCCTTGTTAACGTTTACCCTCACCACTGATGCCATGATCGATGCTGCGTTAATGATCACATCAGGGTCGAGACGATCCACCAAAAACTCGCGGAGGCAACAGCGACAGTTTTCGAGTTGACAAACAGACGATCATTTAGATTTCTACCCTAATGAGGATTACAGTGCGACGCAGTTAATTTATATACCTTAGTCATTTGAAATTTACGTTTTCGGTTCTTGTATTCATCAAATTAAGAATAATGTCTTTTCACTCGAAAATTTATTGTAAAATCTTGTCGGGATGATAGATTAAAAATCTGATTTCTCTTGCGCTAAATTCTTAAATACTACGAATCTCGAAACCACTGTAGCCTCATATCGCTAGAGTATGTATTTTAATAATAGATCTAAACGGAAAAGAAGCAAAAATCAAGAAAATAAATATATGCAACATATGTATGTAAAACGTATAAAATATATGTATAAATTTTTAGAAAATTTTGTATGGGCTAATATATGGACTAATGAACCTCATTTTACTATTAACGGATACTTTACTGAAGCCGCACCTTTGACACGCATGCGTGAGAAAACCGGTCCATTTAACAACTGGAGCTGTTGGGGGTGCGTTCGAGGACCATCTTAAATATGCTGTCAGTACTGGTTGTGTT